ACATACTGTATTAATGTTTTGGCTTGTAATTTTTTTACTAGCCGGCCGCCTGCCTGACGCCAAACCCTCCTAGGGACTACTTAAATAATAACTAACTTAACTACTTTATTTATTATACATGCTTATTAAAAAATTAAAATACAAACAGGGAATTAAAAAAAATTCTGAAATAAAAAAAACACACACACACACGAAAAACACAAACACTAAAAATAAAAATAATTTCCCCTATTCTGTTTCAGCTTCTGGTCTTACTCACTTTATTTCTTTGTTGGTTCTTTCTTTTCTAAAGTCTGACACACCTTGTTATATGGAATAAGTCGATTGTTTTTTTTCATAAATGCAAAATTAGCTTTTTGGCCCAAATCAACCAAATATTTAGTCACTTTAGTTGTAGACATGGGTTTGTTCAAAACACCCTTTAGTGTTTGTGGGTCTTTTCCGAGCAAACTGGGGAAAAGTATTGCAAGAGGTTTTGTATCCAATCCATTTTCACAATCTACAAATTGCAGTACTTCCTCTTCGTCTAATTTTTCGTTTAAAGTTGACTGGGGTTTTGAAGATTGTAAAATGTCTACCCATTCTGAATCCTTTGCTAACAATGGGGACACAGGTTTTATAACATTTCCCTTCTTAGTAACAAACATTTTGAGAGTTTTGTAGCTAACATTTTATTTATAAATAATATTGTTTACAATTTTCTTGCCATTGACATATGACATATATCTACAATTACCACCTATGTCAAAATTAAAAAGTTAATGACGCGGTTGACGCGAGAAAATGTGACGATGAATATATATTTTTTCAACTAGAATTTAATATAATACGGTCTTTAAAACTGGTTCAAAGCGTTATTAAAATTTAACGAAATGATGAAATCTCTCATTGCCTACACGCATGCATGTGTTTCCTATTTGGAAATTTTGAAACGAGTTTATCATGCAACGTTTATTGCACTATTACGATATCCGTAACAAATAGAGAAAACAGGAAATCACAACAGTAGTAGAGCACATAGTTGAGTATATATTTGGTTTTTATTTATAAGTAACCTACAAATTAAAATTATAATATCAATAAGTCAACATTGTGCGACTATGAAGTATGAAGGTGTTATCGTTGAAGGGCATCGAAGTAAGGCGCGCCGTCATAAACTTGTACACACTGGCGATTGCAAAAAGAATTTTATCGGTATAATGCCATTTACACAGTTATATCAAGTAACGTATCTAAAAAATATCGAGATTATGGTAAATTTTAATAAAAAACTATTTCTATAAATGAACAAAAAGTTTAAATATTTTTTTTTTAAATTTGGTCATATAAAAGACGCAGTTTCGTTCTATTTCCACATCCTTACATCTAATCTTTCGCATTTAAAATATTATTAAGTTTTCAATCGTAACAGTAACATTGATTCTGTTTTTACAATAATTTGGTTTGTATAATTTACGTCTTTATAAAATACGGTAGCGGTATTTAGCCTTGACAGTAAGCTTTTTTTATTGTTATAAAACATTGGCCTTGCGTAACGGAGTCTGGTCATTCATTTAGCACTGAGTGAATGCAATTCCGCGTACGTTTGATCAAATCGTGATTTGTGACTAATGAACCGATGTTTCTAGAATTTCAAAGTAAAATATCATAGTCATTCAGTGCTCGTCATTGTCTGTTTTATCAGGAATTTATGTCACTGGCAGTGATTATTCTGTTATTTCAAGTAGTTTTAAAAAAAACATACATATTTCTAACAAATCATTTATTCATGAGATTTACAACAACTTATTGAACTTTGCTTTTAATTTCATTAGCAATGAAAAATAAACGTTTTCCATAACTAGATAGATTTTTGCAGTAGCGATGTATTTTTGTAACGTTTATCATAACTCCCGTATGGTCTAGTGGCTAGGATACCTGGCTTTCACCCAGGAGGCTCGGGTTCGATTCCCGGTACGGGAAAAGATTCTTTTTGCTCGAATTATAATTTTTGTTATTTTTTAGAATTAAATAGGAAAATTAAAAAAACAGTATCTTAACAAAATTATCGTTTGTTTTGAAAATTTTACTCAAATTCAAGTTTGCTTTTAAAATTTATCTACTTTTTAGAACTCCAGTTCACAAAAAAGGAGGTTCTAGATGTGTGGACTACTTTGGTAAGCACTATTTCTAATAACTATTCACTGTATTTCAGTATGCCTATCGACTTGTACTACGTGCCAGGCTCGCCGCCATGCCGCGCCGTGCTGCTCACCGCGCGCGCCCTCAACCTCAACCTAAACCTCAAACTGGTGGATCTGCACCACGGAGAACACCTCAAGCCTGAATACCTCAAGGTGAGATGGTTAGCTAACTGCAATTAGTGAATTGATTAAGCCCTAACTCTTACTTAGGGTAGGCTCCGAGTCCCTCGTGATCACATCTCCCCTGCCTTATCCTACTCCCGTAGGGTCGGCGCACCGGGTTTTCGTCCTCCAAAGCATATAGTGACCTAGTGACGATGAAAGAAATAAAGAGCGGTACCCAAAGTTCCTAATCCCAACACGTTAGGGATACGATAGGGTAACATGCCGTTGCACATTAAAAAAAAACTGCAAGTACAAACATATTGCAATTCGGATATTTTTTTATTACAATATGACTAATCGATTATTTAAACAGTAGGATACTTTGGCAAGTAATGTTATATGAGTGGTTTTACATTTGTCCAGTTGTAATCCAGCAACGATATGATTGCTGAACTGGAACAGTGTAAGTCAGGCATAAAGTTTTAAGCTATGTTTATTTCTTAGAATAAAAGATTTTCATAAAGTCTAACTAAAAATACGGTCGATTTACAGTATTTATAAAATAATAAAAACTTTACCGACGCTATAACATTTACCACTAGCTGTTCCCGTGCGGCTTCATCCGCATGAAATTATGAAAATTTTATTTTATTGCTTACATTTGTCAAATTGTCAATAGCAATTGTTAAAATGACATGACATTACAAACCATGGCAATCGTGCTTCCTTGATGTTGGTAGCAAAATATGGTCTCTTTCCCACATTAGGGTTTTTATCCAAAACATTTACCCCCTACGTTTAATGGCGTGAAAATATATAGCCTAAAGTGCGAGGTAACTGTAGGGCTTTTCATGAAAGAAAGACTTATTCAAAAATATGCTGTAATTGCTGACATCTTAGGCAACAAAGAAGTGTGTGTTTACGCTTTATTATAATAGTATAGACAATGTTTGTGCCGAGCATAATATTTGCTATTTCCAGATGTCTGGGCAAAATCAATTAAAATGTCATCATCATTATTTATATATTAACAACTTTGAGTTTTATTACTATAGGGTAAATAGTCAGTTGTAATTTATGATTTAACATTCAAAAATACTTTTTGCCATTAAAATATTCTATAGAAAGGTATACATTTTTATATTGCAATCGGTTTTGTAACATCGGAATAAGTTTGTGAAAACGGGATACCATGGCATTCGGCCACTAAAGTAATTACCTTCCGTTTTGGTTAACGAATGGTCATATAACAAAAAGTGTTTCGCGATATTTATCTTTAAGTAAATAGAGTTTAAGTGCATATTTCTTGGATTGCGATCGAAGGTCGAACACACCGGTTTGTGAAGGTATGATGTAAGCGTAGTGGGAACATGAGGTCAATGCACTCTAAACAGAACACCATAGTATCTACGTGTTTTCCATTATTTGACTTGAGGAAAAGTATTTGAATGGCAGTCCAATGTCATGCATTGTAGTTCAAAACACAATTAAACACGGACAATTCATCTCTAAATGTATAAATATGGTAGAGGCGAGAATTGCGATTACATTGCTGTTTAAAAAAAAAATCTAAGAACATTGTAGTAAAAATTATTACAAATATACCCTCCTTTAGGTTTATTCCACATATAGTAATTTCTTGGTCCACCAATCTCTAAGATTACAGTAAATTATTTTAAGACTAGCTTTCGCCAGATATTCCGTCCGCGTGGAATTAAAAAATATAAAATGAGTATTACCTATGTGTTTTTCCAGACTATCCTCTACATGTATACCAAATTTCATCAAAATCCGTTCAACCGTTTAGGCTACAAACTCTAACAAACATCCATCCAAACTTTCACGTTTATAATGTTAGTATGATATGATTACGAAAGACTTTGTAAGGCGTTCGACATACGAGTATCTATATAGTTATTTGTCATCGTCAACAATGGTATTCCAGTTGAATCCGCAACACACAGTGCCGACGTTAGTGGACGACGGGCTGGCGCTGAGCGAGTCGCGCGCCATCATCACGTACCTGGTGAACAAGTACGGCAAGGCCAGCGGCCTGTACCCGGAGGAGGCTCGCGCGCGCGCTCTCGTCGACCAGCGCCTCTACTTCGACGTCGGCACTCTCTACCAGCGCTTCAGTGAATACTTCGTATGTCATATCCCACATAATTTATTCAATACTAGCTGTTCCCGTGCGACTTCATCCGCATGAAATTATGAAAATTTCATTTTATTGTTTACATTTGTCAAATTATCAATAGCAAATGTCAAAATGACATGACACGATGACAACCTTGCTTCCTTAATATTGGCAGCAACTTATAGTCTCTTTCCCACATTAGGTTTTTATCCAAAATATTTACCCCCTAAGTTTAATGGTGTTAAAATATATAGTCTTAAGCGTGACGTAAGTGTAGGGCTTTTTTACTAAAAAAATAATTATTTGAAAATTTGCTGTTACTGCTGACATCTTCGGCAACAAAGAAGTGTGTGTTTACGCTTTATTATAATAGTATAGACTAGCAGATAGATATTATAAAAAAAAATATTTTATCGTTTACATTTACAAATTCTCAATCGTAAATGTCAAAATACCTTACTATGGCAATCTTGCTTCCTTAATTAAGGCAGCAGCTTAAGGTATCTTTCCCACATTAGGGTTTTTTATTTACCCCCTAAGTTTAATAGCGTGAAAATATATATCAAATTGCAAGAAAAGTTAAAGATGTCCATATGCTTGTACTACAAGATCTGGTTCTATGACTTTTGGTAGAAATTTTAAGCTGAATAGTAGATAAAATAAACAAAAAATGGAACCCACTTCCTTTCAGATAAAAATAGAATTTTCAAAATCGGAGATATCGCATAACATACATAAAAAATACAGTAGAACCTCGATAACTCAAACCTCGGTGACCTAAAAACCTCTATAACTTCAAAAAATAATATGTTTCCTTCCCCATCAGAGCCCAAAACCTCTATAACATAGACCCTTGATATCTGAAAACCTCTATATCTTAAAATATTTTGTGTTTCCCTTGGACTTTTACATATCGAGGTTCTACTGTGTAAACAAATTGAGTACCTCTTTTTGGGAAGTCGGTCAAAAAGTTATGTCACCATTTCATGTAAAAGGCAAATTTTAATGGTTTACCGATATTTATATCAACAAATTACTTCCCCGATCTGTGTTGATGAATTTATATTCGATGGCCACACAATAGGTACTTGGAATAAAGTAATCGTATTACATCCTCAAATGCAAAACAGGAAAATTTTATTTGCGATAACGTCATTGTTGGCGCGGGATTATTTAAACGTATTCATTTATATTTAAACTACCTCTTCCCGCGCGGCTTCATCTGCTTAAAATTATAAAAGCTTTATTTTATTGTTTACATGTGACAAAGTCTCAATTGCAAATGTTAAAATTCAAATGCACAAATCAGAACAAAAACCTTTAGAAAGTAATTACCGTTACCATAATAACTTTGCTTCCTTAATGTTGGCAGCTTGTAGTTTATGGCCCCTTTTTTAGCTTGAAAATATCTAGCCTAAAGAGTATGAGTGTAGGGCTTTTTATTAGAATACTAAGAATTATTCAAAAATATGCTGTGATTGTTGACATTCTACGTCACAAAGTGTGTGTTTGCTCTTTATTATATTAGTATAGATATCGCCTGTTTTGTTTATCGAACAGTGGTCATCTCCAGTATTAAATAATTATGATATTAATATCTGCTGCGAGCGACTTCGCCCATACGGAATTAAAAAATATATCCTATGTCAGGAGTGGCGAACCACTGGCACCCGTGTCATAAATGCCACATAATATTTTGAGCACGTCAATAATCATAAAAACATTATAATAAATATGAAATAGGTGCGAAATAGACGTAATAATCACAGTCAAATTTCTTTAAACATGACACTTTGATGCGTAAATGATCGCCATCCCCGGCCTATGTTACTCACATATAAATTACCATTGTAATCGTGAAAGAATTTTCGAGATCGGCAAAATAGTTTTTACGTGATAAATACATATAAAAATCCAAAAATACACATCTTTCTTTTTTATAATACTCGTAGTATTGATTGGTACAAGACCGCAGCAATATTCATGTTAATCGTTTCAGTATCCCCAAGTGTTCGCTGGCGCCCCAGCTGACAAGGAGAAGGCGGCGAAGGTGGAGGACGCCCTGAAGATCCTGGACGTGTTCCTAGAGGGGCAGAAGTACGTGG